AACAGAAGCGGCTCCAGTACTGAGCCTTGGGGGACACCGCTTGTGGCCGGCCGCCAACTAGATCCAACTCTATTGACCACGACTCTTTGGGCCTGGCTATCCAGCCAGTTCTTCACCCAGCGGAGTGTACACCCATTCAGACTATGGTCAGCCAGCTTCTCCACGAGAATGTTATGAGGGACATTGTCAAAGGCCTTACTGAAGTCCGGATAGACCCCACATTGACAGCCTGACCCTCATCCACTAAGTGGGTCACCTTGTCATAGAATTGAATCACAGAATTGTAGGGGTTGGAAGGGACCTCCAGAGATCATCGAGTCCAACCCCCCTGCCAAAGCAGGTTCCCTACAGTAGGTCGCACAGGTAGGCATCCAGGCAGGTCTTGAACATCTCCAGAGAAGGAGACTCCACCACCTCCCTGGGCAGCCTGTTTTCCAGTGCTCCGTCACCCTCACCGTAAGGAAGTTCTTGCGCATATTTGTGAGGAACTTCCTATGCTGCAGTTTCCAGCCGTTTCCCCTTGTCCTGTCTCCACTCACCACTGAAAACAGTCTGGCCTCGCCATTCTGCCCCCCACACCTTAGATATTTATAGACCTGGATCAGGTCCCCTCTCAGTCTTCTTTTCTCAAGGCTGAACAGACCCAGTTCACTCAGCCTTTCCTCATAGGAGAGATGCTCCAGGCCCTTCACCATCTTCGTGGCCCTCCCCTGGACTCTTTCCAAGAGATCCTTGTCTTTTTTGTACTGGGGAGCCCAGAACTGGATGCAGTACTCCAAGACAGATGAGGTCTTACCAGGGCAGAGCAGAGGGGGAGAATCACCTCCTTCGACCTGCTGGACACGCTCTTTTTAATGCACCCCAGTAAGCCATTGGCCTTTTTGGCCACAAGGGCACACTGCTGGCTGATGGCCAACCTGTCATCCACCAGGACACCCAGGTCCCTTTCCGCAGAGCTCCCCTCCAGCAGGTCATCCCCCAACCTGTACTGGTGCATGGAATTATTCCTCCCCGGATGCAAGACTCTACACTTGCTTTTGTTAAACCTCATCAGGTTTTTTTCTGCCCAGCTCTCCAGCCTATCCAGGTCTTGCTGAATGGCAACACAGCCTTCAGGCGTGTCAGCCAATCCTCCCAACTTCGTATCATCAGCAAACTTGCTGAGGGTGGCCATTATCCCCTCATCAAGGTCATTGATGAAGATGTTGAACAAGACCGGACCCAGCACAGACCTCTGAGGAACACCGCTAGTTACAGGTCTCCAACCGGACTCTGCACCACCAACAATGACCCTCTGTGCTCTGTCAGTCAGCCAGTTCTCAACCCACCTCGCTGTCCACTCATCTATCCCACACTTCCTCAGCTTTGTTATAAGGATGTCGTGGGGGACAGTATCAAATGCCTTGCTGAAATCAAGGTAGACTACATCCACTGCTCTCCCCCCATCCACCCAAATCAGGTTTGTCAGAAAGGATCTACCATTCATAAACCCATGCTGACTAGGCCTGATCCCCTTGTTGACCTTTAATTGGTCCGTGATGGTTCCCGAGATTATTATATATAGTATAATCAAATTATTCAGACGCTTGTCAAGTGTGAAAGATCTCAAAGCACATGAGCTCTTGGCACTACTCATAAGAGAGCGCAGTTTTATAAGGTATGAATATATTTCTTCCCTCTAATTAATTAAACCAGATTCCTCACTATTCGATTCTAATCTTTCAATTAATCAGTGTTAAAAATACAGGTGTTCAAGGGCATGCATCCTCTGAAAAAAATGCTAGAAAAAGTCCTCTTCAAAATGGCTGTAAGTTAATAATATGTATGCACATGTATACAACATACATTCATTTATACATACATATAATTTAAAAATCCATGGATATAATAGGTAGAACTGGGGAAGAGAAGACAACGCCTATGTTATTGAGCACATTTTCAAAGGAGCACGCATGATTTAGAAGACCAAAAACGAACTAATGACACAAAGAATCTCTACTGAGCCATCTTTAAAAACATCAACTTTTGAAAACTTGCCCATAAGATTTCATGGTATGAATTCTTCAGATGAGACAAGGACAATACTGTGATGTAGATACATTTCTGGATGGGGGTTGCTTCTATAAATATTAGTTTCCAGGTGCTACGGAGCATCTAATTTTAGAGAAAGAGGTCATCTGTATAGACCCAGAATGGCCGTTTGTAAACGGACACATGATGGTACCCAACATCAGTTGTACCTTTACCTCGTTCTGAGTACCTGTCCTCTACGACACCAAGACACTGGAAGGGCCTTCTGCCTGCCTGACAGTGTGCCGCATACATAAAACATTGACCAAGAATGAGGATATTTTATTTCCATTCCTAAATCTGAAACTGACCTAACGGATAACTCTAAGTGAATCATTTTACAACCGTAATTCTGGTGTCTCAATCAATATGTACTGCAAGTTCTAATGATATGACTTCCTTTACAGACTGACACTGGAAACTGCCTTGGGGTTAAATGTGATTATTTATTAATTTTACTGAAGCCAATTGATTTTACAGGGAATATTTCACACCTGACTATGCAAGCTGTCTACACAAGTTCATTTTCACACAAGCCCCTTTCGATACTGTCCAAACATAACCAACCCTCACAGTTAATTTTACTTGTTTTATGTTAATAATTTAACATGAAAAGCTTAAAATACCAGGAATGTTTTTCTTATTGTTATTTTTATTAACTACTAATTTGCGGTTCTTTTATGGATAACAGAAAATGGATCTAACAGGACATCTCAGTAGCAGCTTAAAAAATACTTTAAAATGTTAGCTTGCGAAGCATTGAAATATATACATAGACATATATTTTCTTAACAAGTAGAAAGAGTCTTAGGATTATGGCAAAGAACACCACTACTCGTATTTTGAATCAGAATGTCTATTTCACCAGGAGAGTAACATTTATGTAACTATCAGTTATCCAATACAGGCCCATCTAGGTCCGGCTATACACTGCCAGGCTCAGCAAATACATTGAAAATGAGCCAATAAGAGAGAAGGAATTGCACTCACTTTTAATGCTACAAAGGACATTATTATTCATAGTCTAGTAACTTTATGGCAAGCATAAACCTCTTGGAGGAAGGAAGAGTAACATATCTTAACATCATTTTCATTGGAATAATTTCAATTCCAACATGACTGAAAAATAGGAGCATAGGAGATTTTTTTTAAAAATGACTAAATTAATGACAAAATGCAGAGAATATACATGACTAAAATGACTGTCTTGACAGAAAGCCACAGAGTAACTCTGAAAGAGACTTTCAGGACATAATCAAGGTCACCTAGTTATCCTAATAATTCTTTGAGCACAGTGCTATATTTCACAGTTCAGGATTTTGGAACCTAACTGCTCACCAACCCTTTAAACTAATGTTATCTTCATTTTACAATGATTAGAGAGAGGTACAGAGATGAGAAAGGCACTGCTGTCTAAATTGATTCCTGATTCCGAGTGTGCTGAGTGCTGCTCCACCTAATTTAAGGGAGTGCTGAGAATCTGAATCTCTTTCTGGACCAAAGAGGAGATCTGCAAGTGGTGCAGCTGCCAAAATGCAAGACACTGTAAAATCTATGATCTTCCTGAGCTATTAAGAGAAATCTCAGTGTTCTGATCCCAGCTCCTTTCCCAACCGCTGTCAGGGAGTTCCAAACTCCAGAACAGAGACCTCACAACTGCAGTTTGCAGTTGGTAGTATTTCATCAATAAACAGCAATTGGCTCATGGTTCTAAGGCTATTTTACACTACATTACAGTGATCTGAATATTGCTTTTAGTAATAGTAATATTGCAGTGATCGGATATTACTTTTTCATTCACTTTAAGGCTATTTTTGATTGCCTGATTGGAATAAAAAGACCTGAGTGTAACTGAGAAGTAGATTCCAAGGTTTCACCTCAGCAGGGACTAACCCCTCCAACCATGAATCTACACACTGGGATATTCATATATCTAAGAATCATGAACATTGATGCTTGCCTCTAAGAGCAAAGTGGGAGACGGGTCCAGGACATTTGGATACTCATTCCGTGCCTGCTCAAATACTGTTACATAACCAGGTAAGCTACAGCAAAGTCCATATAGAGAATAAAAGGTGTTTTTTTTTCCCCCTTTACACTTGAGACCCCAGCTGTTATGGAATTTGTGAAGTTTCATTGTGGACTGGGTCATTCAGTCAAATGTGCATATTCAAGCATATAGCATAAACTTTCCATTTCTGCCACAGGTTGATGACTCACCAACAAGCTTACTCATCATTACCACTGCTCCAGTGACTGATATCTCTTGAACAATTCAAACATTGTCTTTTGAGTAGGATAAAGTGTGGCTAGATTGAGTTTTCTGAATGCACTGTGAGAACTCGGGAGCCAGATTCATACTGAGAATACATAAGGTCTATGCCCTAAAATCTTCACATCTTTTCAGAAAGTCCCCATACCGTGTACCTTTTAATAACTAATGACATTACCCCTGGTGTTCTTGACTATGAACCTAGAAGATCGAGACATTCTCTGGCTTTAATATTCATAGATACTGGCCATATTCCATTGAAATAATGCAATAAAGAGAAATAAACAAGGAAAGAAAGAATGCAAAAGATAAAACGATAACATATTTCTGCACCAAGTGTTGATGTACAGTCATGGAATTTCTCATTCCCTTATCTTGGAGATCTAATGGATCTCATTGTGGAATAAATAGCAGGGAATTGCCATTGTACAGTCTTGCCAAATGGGAGTCAAAGCACGTTTTAAGCCCCAACAACGTGATTATTCAAAGATCAATTAGGCAAGTGTAGCATTGAATGCCAAATAAAACGACATAAACAAGACTGATGGCTATTTGCGTGAGCTGAATACCACAAAGCTGATAAAGTTGCAGATAGCATTCTCCCAAAAAAACACAGTTCACACAGGTCTCACTATGGTAGCAAATCAAGAGTGCTTACCATTCTTGGAGAGAATCACAGCCAAATATTCATGAAAGTAGGTGTTGACGTAGAGCAGAAGGCTTGGAGCATGTGCCGTAAGAAAGCTAAATGCGATATTTTCCTTGGACATGATGGCATCCGCATAAATGGCAGAACTTGAAGTGCTTGCGTTTTTTGTGACAGGATAAGGTTCTTGGAAAATATAGGTAACAGAAGTGCCAGCTTCAAATAAAGCAGAAACCTCTGAAAGAATATATAAACCAAAGGAACAGTTTCAGCTACTGCATTTTCAGACATTTCAGACAGGTATGCACACAAACTGGCCGCCTCAGAAAGAGAACACTGCGAAATGCTCTTGACCTGGCTGATACAACATTCCTTGATTTGGATGAGCAGAAAGCCCTTCCTCACAGACTGTATGTTTGACACAGAGAAGGGCAATATATACAGGCAAGCATATATATTCAACTATTATAGTGCTTGAATCATTGCTCTACAAACAGCCCAAAGAGTTTGTTAGTCAAATAAATTGTTAGTTTTACCATCTTCTCACTGTTAATTTGTTGGGCAATATTCTCTATCTTCCCCCCACAGAAAAGACAACAACATAATTGTCCTTTCTGGTCTTCTTTTTAAGCAAAATAATCATTAAAGCAACACACTAATTCAAAGAAAGTCACTGAGGGAGAGCAGCAGCTCCAAGAGAAACAACTGCCATTAGATGCTCAGAACACAAGAACTCATATTGTGTTTTCATGATGCACAACGTAATTTGGCCACAAAACACATGCAAATTACAACAGCTGTTTTCCGGTAAAGTAGATCTACCCTCTACAGCAGCATCTCCTAACAGTATACTACATGGTTATTTGCTATGCCTCTCATGACACTGGTGTCAAATCTTCAGCTCATGGAAGTGGGCACAGTTCCATGGACTTCAGTGTAACTAAGCCAATTTACACTAGCAGATGATGTGATCCACTTAGTCAACCTGTCACACTTGTAAGATGAGGGACAGTCATGGAAATTAAAATACTAGCATTGCAATTTGCTGCTATTAAGCAAAGGGATTTCGGTGGTTTCTTCTTTTCTCCAAGAGCATGCTATCAAAATTGGATGCTCTTTATTTGCCCCACTCCTTTTTCAGGTGTTGGCAATGTCTTCTAAAAGCTAGCAAACAGGTTCAGTGTGGACAAGATCCTCAGAAAGCGAACCGTACAAATCAGTTTCTTTCTGGATTTATTTTTGATAATTCTTCTTATGGCCAAGTTTAGATGGGTTGAGACAGGGATCACGACAAACGTAAAAAGACTCCCCCTTTTTGTCACACCATTGCTTAGATCTCTGTAAAGATCTTATTTTCTTAAGGTGGACAAAATAAGATGAAGTTTAAAATCAAGCAAATGAAACATTCAGACACAGGCAGAGAACTGTCAGTGAAACTTTCAGCCCTGTCTGTAAATGTCTGGACCACGTTATATGCAACTGAATAGAGGAATCATAGTGTGATACTGTCTATAATTTAAATAACAGTAAAACTAGCATTATTGTAATTTCTGAGTACTGAAGTCATCAAGTGGAGGAATTCAAGTCCACTTAAGGTAAACACTTAATGCTCAAGGGAAAGCTCTTATTAGAACATCCCCTCGTAGTACAGTGGACAACAAGCTGATGTGGATGATATTGTGTTACAGACATTCGGAAACCACTAAAGACTTCAAATCAAAGCTCTTTGCCTACCTTCTTTGCAGAAGGGCCCTTCGTAGGCTGAGCTGGTGCAATCACAAGAATACCCATTGTACTTCTCCACGCATTTTCCTCCATTATGGCATAGATTACCATAACTACTGCAGTGCCCCGGACATCCAGGTTTAACACCAGGAGTCATTTTAGCTCTTTCTTCAAGGTCAAGTTTCTGTCCATTTAAGTGCAGAGATCGAATGCATCCCAAAAAGCCCTTTTGTCTGGAAGCTGTTCCTCCTGAAACAGAGAAGAAAAAAATCAAATGCATTCATTGAACAGCCCACAAAATAATCAAAGCCCTGAAGATACAAATACAGAGGTACAAACAGCAATCCATAGAACTTTAAAATATTACCTATTATGTATCAGTGCACACTGTAGCAAAAGATGGATGTACAGACAGGCCAGGAAACTAAGAGTCTCTTCCTTTAAGAAAGGACTAAAGCTGTGTGTGAGGTTCCAATTGCCATTCTTTTCTGCCTTATCTACCATCTTGTTAGGTATTTAAAATGCAAATTCATTTGGTAAAACCCTTCTTTATCATATGCCTGCATACCATCTAATACATGAGAAATCCCAAACTATTTTTTTTTTATTTCTTGCCAGAGTACAAATAACACCCTAATTCCAACAGCAGATGAGTTACACATGCTGATGAGTCCAGATAGCACAGATGAATTGTGTTCAACACCAGGTTTGCTGGATAAAGGGAAATGACTTTAGAGACAGAATTTATGCATGACTGATCAACCCGATGTTGCACGTGAACGTTTGTTGTAGGCAAGAAATGTGACTTTGGGTTACAGTTGCAATTTATTACAACCGTGAAACACAACTGCATCTCCTAATGAAGAATAAAGATGTACGGATTTCAGCAAGAGCACGGTCTAGTCTCGACAGGCTACGTTCTTATCAACTCACTGCAATTGCTAACAGTGAAAACAGTTTGCCTTAAGAGATGGTCTCTCACAGAGATTATAATTACTGATGATAGACTGTGAAAATATCAACATCTTTGATATTGTAGGCTTTGTTTGGTGGTTGCCAATGCTTTACTTCTGAATTCACTGCAATTTTGATTGCCACTACGAAATCAAACTCTGGCCAAAGAGTTAATAGCACTTGTAGTTCTGAAATGCTAGTTTTTTTGGTGATGCACCAGTAAATAAGTAAAGAATATGAAAAGTTATCTTTCCAAATTTTTCTTCTATAGAAGTTTGTTCTATATCAAAATGCATGAGATAACAGATCTTTTGATGAGTCCTTACAGAAGAGCATCTGTTCTCTCATAAATTGTTTAATTAAAGCAGACTTCTGAGAACGATGAGAATGAAATAGCAGTCTGAAAAGCAATCTCACCAAAACCCTATTGTTCTGCCATATTATTCTGACATATTTTTGTATCTGTTACACTAATAGCTGAAATACTGGATCTGAATTAGAATAACTAAGTTCTAGATGTGTGAATGTGTGAGATACTTACTTTACACTAAGTTTATGGTACCCTTCACAGTGAAACAAATATGTTCACAATCTCCTTTTGCCGATTACTCTCTCCAGACAAACAAATGTTAGCTCACTTATATTCAGGCCCCCTGAAGATAACAACTGGGCCTTCTGCATTTGCTGCATTGTGCACACCTGACCCTTTTTGTTGGAGATTTTGTTTCAAAACCAAACACATCACACAAAATTTTTAGTAATGTCCTTGTAAAAAGGAAGGATTTTAGCCTTTCCATTCAGATCGAGTCTTGTGCCAAACTGGCCTACAGCTGCACATAGTTTGGTCAAGCTGACATTATATAGCCTGTAAATTTGTTTGGGATTTGCTCTCTGTATGGCGATTTTTAAAATTTAACAGAAGAAATATAACCAGGTGCAAGGATATCCAACCTGTTGCTGTGGATTAGCAGTATGAAGCAGTTAAATTCCAAATAATCTCTGAAAAAAAAGTGAGAAATGGGTTTCCAACTCCTTTAGATTGCTTTAACATTTCAACTTGTTTGATTTTAAGTAATCCTCAACATACTGCAATGAAAATTCATTTTTCCTTTCGCTATGCGCGCACACAGAATTCTATCTCAGAAGTCTTTCACATACTCAAAGTGTGCCAGTGCTAGCCTTAAGCAGACTGTTTTTATTCTAAATTATTTTAACGAGAGCAGCCATAGAAAAAAAGCTTTCTAGATAAATACACAAGTGCCTTGAGAATTAACTGCACAAAAAATAAATTAATTGTATATATTATGTTGAATCTACTCTTAATGACTATGCATAACTGTTTTCCTTTAACTGAGAGAAATTATATTTTAATATACTCAAACTGTACAGAATATAGTCTGACTTTTATAGGAAGTGATGGAATAAAAAAAAGAATTGTGAATTTGAAGCTAGTCATATTGTGTTGCTATGGGTGAGAGGGAGTTAAAAGAGAGAGATTAGATTTGTACTGTTCTATTTCGAGTCCAGGTAAGTCCAGAAAGGAAGAGCCCATTTTCTGTGGTTTATTTTGAATAACATGTGAAAGAAATCATTGTTGCAGTGGAATTACAGTAATGTCAGGCACTGATGATTTCTTGCACACAGCATGTGGCATGCTGACATGCTCAGCTGGAGCAAATGCTTAGGTTCTGCTCCCCTAAGGGGGAACACATCCCCAAGACAGATATGCAGGGAAGATGCCAGCCTGGCAAAATGCAAAATAGTCAAGAACACTGATGTAAGTCCATATCTGAGTAATGAACAGTGTCAGGACAGACCTAGATGGAGAACAGATGGTATGAAAAGAAGTGATCCTAGCATTTCTGCAAAACAGAGTAGTATGAGCGTATGGATCTGAAACAGCTCTATCAATTCCTTTCATACAATACTAATCTATGTAAGAGGCCTTGGGTAAACAAAAATCACGTGAGTGCATCTTTCCAGGCAGTGTAAAATTGGTGTGAACTTCTCAACCTGCAGTGTTGTATAAGCTCTAAAATAGAAATATCTGTGGCTGCATTAGCATGCAAATAACAAGTTATGGCTACTTTGTGGAACTCAAGGCCTTTAGGTGAGTGAGGAAAGTTTCTAGCAGGCAGCACTGTGAATCTAAGATATGCGACGTCAGTTCTGTATCAATAAGATATGAGTAACATTCAGAGCTACACCATCAAATTGCAGATTAGGAATATTAAACACACCAATGGTTATACAGAAGTACACAAGAGCAAGCTGAAAATTGACTTGGAGCCTAGCAGTGTCCCAGGCAGGCAGAAGTTGAAGAACAAGCACAACTCAAAATTAGCATAGACACAAATCAGTGAAATTCCTAGATTCAGCCTGTAGTCTCTAGGGATCTGAATTTCTCTGCTAGAGCAATCACGATGTAGCAACGCTGAACTCACTGTCTGAATACAGTCAGCATCCCTCTGAGACAACTGAAGCTCACATCTTTCAGTGTTCAGGACACATCTTTGCATTAACTCACAATCAGTATTTTCTCCATCCAGGACTGGACCCTTATTGTGATTTGAATTTTTTAAATTTAGTTTCTTACTTACATACACGTGGTTTATTTTTATCTCTGAATCCAGTCTTTTTAAATTCCTTTTCCGAATTTAACGGAGAGAATATAATGTTCTCCCATAATTCACAAAAACTAGTAGCGAGGCAAATAAGAAACAGCATTACAATCTCCGTTCAGTAAGACTAAAGTGTGATTTCAGCGCTTACTAGGCATAAAAGAGCCTAACACATATAAACTAGAAATCTTTTTATGTGCTTAGTTGTTGGAAAATCTTCAGCAAACCCTTAATCTCCCAAAGTTGGTCAATCTCAACATACACTTCCAAGGAAAGCCAGGCCTTCTTAACTCCAATCCTTAGGAAATATTTAAAGGCCAATTAACTTGCTCAGAACTTCAGTATCATTGAATCAGAAGTAAATGAAGCACACCTCCAAGGCTGCCTATAATTGACAGCTTTTTTAAGATTTCCGGAGAAGGCTTCTGTTCAACTTTCTTCACAATAAATTACAGAAAGTGTTGGCTTGCTCTTCAGGCCAACTTTAAAACAAAATAAAACCACCATGAACACAAAATGCAAGGAGCAAAATCATTCAGTTATACATGATCTTAAAGATGTTTGATTCTTGGGTTAAGATAAAAAATCTGAGCAAAATGAACTAAACAGCTTGGTCAGAAGACAGGTAGAAATGCTTGATGAGGAATTAGCTGATCCAGATTAGCAGAACTCATTTAAATTTATATTAGATGCCAGTTGCCCCCATAGTCAAATTTTACAAAAGTCCAAATTTATCTCACACATGCGATCTACTGTATATGACTTCCCAAAATGAATAGAGACAAAACTGACACAAGTATACTGTACATACACCGATGGCTCTCAAGTAATGTGAAAATGACCACAGTTTGAACGCTACAGTGAGTCTCCTTTCAATCATCATCATAATGCTACATGATACTACTATAGTTCCTTCACTCAAAGGATCAATAAATCCTTCCAAAAGATAAATAAACTGAATTAATTCTTGACATTGAGCTTTCTTTATGAGATTTATAAAATGTATGAATTGATTCTGAAGAAGAATCAAGAAAAAAAAAGAGGTTATATCTTAATGAGTAGCTAACTCTACTATGGAAACAAGGAGATTAAAGTATATTTGAAACATTTTTAAGATAGCAAAACACGTCAGTTAGATTATTAATTAAGAATGTGCATACTGATTGTGGAAACTCCTTAATCACTCTCAGTATGCATAATGCTGCAAAAACAAATGTTGTTATGGGGACTTAAGAGGGGGAGAGAAGAATAATATTATGTGTTGCTGCTTCTGTCCTTTTAAATAGAATCAATGTTGTTTATGTATTTATTTTTCAGATCGGATAAAATTCTTTTGCTGTGGTTCAGGTATTAAATCAGTTGCTTTCTATTAGAGACTGGAATGAGATCTTCAGCAGAGACAAATGACTCCACATCTGTGCATTGTTGGACTTCTGCCACCTTTCCCTGAAGGACCCAGGGACAATGTTAGAATGAAAAGACTGTTCAGGTTTCCATCTCTTCTGTTCACGCTTAGAAAAACTCAGATGGTTACAGACAGTTTTGACCTCCATTAAGGCTTTCTGTGGTAGATTTAAGGGCCAACATTTAACTCTTAAAAGCATCAGTTTTTACTGAACCTTTTGTTCAGAGTTCAGTAAAAGTGTGGATGGATAACAGCAATCAAATTACCGCGCAGTGAGAAGTTTTCATCCCTCAGCTGAGAAGTAACTATGACCGAGTTTATTGTAAAGGTTTTTTAATATTAAGTAAAATCAGGGAAAATAGGTTGGGATGGAAGTCACTGCTGGAAATCAACTAGTCCAACCTCATCTTCAAAACCCAGCTACATTCATTGTTAGATCATGTTTGCTCAGGGCCTCTTCCAAGAAAGTTTTGATTGTTTCTGAGAATGGAGATCCCACAGTCTCTCTGCTTCAGTCCTGCACTGCTCTCATTGTGAAGATCACTATTTTCATTCCTTTGCTGCAGCCTGTGGGCTACATCTTTGTTCATTGGCCCAGTCTGTGGTCAGTCTTCACCTCTGCAAGGGCACACTTTAAAATTCACTTAATTATCAAGACCAAAAGGACCTTTTTTGGACAGTGGCTACCCATCCAATCAATCCGCAGCTTGTTTGGATGAATGACACTTTTGCTCCAGGTACAGGGCTTTGCATTTGTCTTTACTGATAAAAGTTTCTGTTGACACAATTCTCAAATTTTGGGGGTCCTTAACTACCCCAGATTTCCACGATGCAATTCAATGATTACACCACATTAAAGTCACTGTGAAGTTGGTTCAAGTAATCTGTTCATTTTGCAGAGAAGAAAGCTTATAGGCAGATACTGTTTCCAGATGTGAGATAGGAAGCAGCTAGGTCACATTCTGATAATGACATATGATAATACCTTCACTTTTACTCCTTTACAAAGAAGTAGACTAAAATTTTGCAAAACTCTGTCCACACAAAAAATACTCCTATGTCTTCTGTTTGCAAACAGTACCTTGGTTAAATTTCTCTGGTGTTTCTAAGGTGTTTAGCTTTTCATCCTTACTGTTTCCAGACTTTGCCTCTCACTTGAAAGCAGAAACACTGCTCTGTGAGTCTTAATGGAAAATAAGTGAGCTCTTCAGCCAAGTTTTATCAGAGAACATTTGAACCAACTGCTATGAGGGAAAGCCATTGATGTAACTGCATATATATTTATTAACAAACTCTTTCCTTTTGTTCATAGCCCAGAAATGATTGCACGTGTATGCTATAGCTAACTTAAATGCCTCAAAATCTTCTTAATTCAAAGGATGTGGATACGCAGGTAAATTTCATTAAAACTAATTGGTAGATTGACACTTAGCATAGCATTTCAGTCAAATATGAGAATCTGTTTTAAGGAAAGAATCTGTAATTATCTGCATGGCTCTGAATAAGAAATGGGCTACAACCCACTCCCACCACAGTGCAAACTACTCAGAAAAGTAGTGTTTGGATATTTAAAAAGAAGACCCTTTGCAATCTCACAGTAACCTACTTGAATGCACGCCTTTTACGTTTCATCACAAAAGATGGATCACATTTCCTACAGTAAATTACACAATCAGTAATGTAGAAGAGGAAAGAGTGAATTCTTTGGCAAGTGCTAAGTGTAGGTAGTAGCTTGGGTTTGCTTTGTGTAGTCTGTGCTGGAGGGAAAGAGGAGGCAGTAGAATTAGTTCACCACACCCGAGCTCAGCTACACAATAGGAGCATTACCAAAGTATGAACATAGAAATATTGCATACACCTGCTGAAGCTCTTAAATGGCTCGTACCTACAAATAATTGGCTGTTGAGCTGCAACCGAAAGTGCCCCTCTGCAGGTGCCTCCAGGACCTTCTCAGGGAGGTTGTCCACCTGGAGACTGGTTTGCTTGAGGTTCCGCTCTGCTCGGACATAGTGCCACTGATTGTCATTCAGGGGTGTGGGAGACTGCACGGTTGCTTCTGCAGGGCCATTTCCAACATCTATGGAGAAGGTGATCTCTTTGGGGGCTGGAGTAGACAAACAGAGACAAAGAGAAAGTGATGGTCTGAATTAAATAGTGCTTTTGACCTCAAGAAATCCTACATAAATATAGGGTCCATTAGCTTTTATCGTTATTTACCTCCCACGTCTTACCCCCAGCTTATATGTAAATGTGAATCTGCGGCCTCACTGTGTGATCTCTGTTGTAACAAAGCTTGGCTGCAGATATCTTTTTTTTTTTTTAAACAGAAAAATCATGCTGCACTACAAATTGTAATTTGTTCTCTTTTGGAAGTAAAAATGTCAAATTCTGTACTAACGTCACAAAAAGTATTTGAACAAATAATGCTAATACAGTGGAAAGGATGAAGGAGGAGCTCTTTTTGATTAAATATTCAAAATACATGTATTTAACAAGAATAAAATGTGGTTCTATACGGTAAGAAGAGAACCTCAAGCATTTGTTTGCATGAATCAGCCTGACTCAAGGAGCAGGGATGCACAGATTAAAAAATCTCTAATTGGTGTCCAGAGATAGCAAGGATCCTAGAAACACAGTGGTAACACGAAAAATAACAGTCATAAGAGGGAGTGTTATCTCACTCTGCTGCAAGCCACCTGAATGGGTGCCAGAACTCTTTAGCATTCTTGTTCTATTATTTTTCCCTCTTCTTATAATGCTGAAGACATCAGAAAGAATAAGAACAAGGTCCACAGACCGCACAAAAATCACAAGGTTGAGGATTGAAAATTCATAAAAACCTGTTATTTCAAGCCCCACAAATTGGATAGGTCTGGTTTTGGAAGCCACTTCTTAGACACTTAAGTTAGGAAACACTCCATAGGGATAGACAAAGATCTATTCTGAGCCCCTGCATTTGCTAAAAAGGCCATTTCCTTTCAAAGCATCTGGTCTGTGGAGCTTCCTTGATACGAGGCCTTTAGGCTGCAAATTCCATCTGGCAGCAAGAAACACAACATAAAACTACTAATGAGAAGTGTATGTTTAAGAGAAAAGTATTTCCCCAAACTTTAAAGTAAGTCATTTTTTGGGAAGCACGGGTTTAACACATACACTAAAGCTTTCACTAAACAATCCTTTTAGTAACTTGTCGTATTTGTCATATTTGATACCAAAATGCCTATTTTTCTTTCCGTATCCCTGCAAATAAAATGCAGTACACCAAAGTACATCCAAATAGGACTTAGATGCGCAGTTAGCATTAAATCATACCTCATTACCTTGTGATAACGCACCGTGACATTTATCATTGGTTTGATGAATCAAAGGGCCTTAGGGCCCTGTTATATTAAATTTTATGTTGGGGTTATTATAAGCATATTATAAAATGCATAGCACTCATTTTGTTTTTCCTAAGTTTGACAGAATTCGGAAAACAGAAGTAATATTTCATGTCAAAACCACAGTTCCCTTTTGCCACTAATAAAAATTTGAAGTAATCAGAACTGGAATGAGGTAAATCTACTCACTAAATATATTCCTTACTCGTCTCTTTTACACATTAAGCTGCAGTCATACTGCAGTCACTTAATGGATTTCGGAGCATTCAAGGCCCATTACGAATGACTGCTGCGAATGACTTACTCCATGCTAGCACCATGTCCTTCATACACTCTCATAGTACTGTACCCTACAATCAAATTCATCTGAAACACTGAGGTTGCATTGCACTGCATATATCATTGACACAGAAATAAAAGTAACTATAAGAGTTATATGTATTAAATTTTTCATCTCTCAAATAAAATTACAGCCTACAGTGTATCTGCCAAGTAGTTCTTCCTCCAATGAGCTAAAATAGGGAAAAATCATGTAAATGTAATCACTTCTCTGTTTAGGAAAGACATAGTGAATCACAAAGTGATATGAACTGACCAAGGTTATACAGGGAAACACTGACAGGAGGAAGTAAGTCTAGACCAATGAGTCTCTTTACGTCTCACCCCCGCCAACCTCTTCCAACTGCCCCATGACAGACGAAAAAATATCCTTCTCAGTTCTCTACTCCTGCCAAACTGGGAAACAAATTGTAATTTCTCCATCTTAAAACTTACATGTTATTTCAATTCGTATGAAGTCTTTCATCCCAAGGTTTTCCAAGAATACTCCAGAGAGAGACGTAGTTTTGAAGAAGAAGGAGATGTCTGCACTGACCTCAGCATGGAAGGTTGGGAAGTGCAGGTAGGAAGCCTCTGTGTTGAAGGAAGCAGCGTTCCAGAACTGCCCTGTAAACACAACCCCCTTTCTCTATAGTTAATTGGCACAGGACAGCAGCTGTGAGCTGCATGTGGAAAGATGTCTTTCATGAAATGTGTTTAAAAAATGAAATAAAAGAAAACACAAAAATGGGAACATTCTGTACCTATGGAAATTGAGAAGAGCTAGTACTCACTGTCTCCATAGCAACGCAAAGGACCGATTTTCCAAGCAGCTTCAGAATTTGATCTGTTTGTGTCAGTGATCACTATCTGAGTTACGGGCAAATGGTCTTTGAAAGCAAGGAGGCCGGTATCATTTGTCCTGGATTATAATAAACAAACAAAAAGAGACATTAAGCACAGACAGATGCCCAGCATTCCTCACAGAAGGCAATATTTCAAAGGTGCTTACTTAAGACATTTACAGATTTACCTAGAAGACTTGTGACCAGCATCCATTGCTTAAGATACCTATGTACACGATTGTGCTCTTTTCTCATACACAGTGCTCTTCTCATACACAGTGCTGGTCAGTTGTGAAGATGCTGCATGTTGACATGGTATAAACTCTAGCTGTGTTTTAGTGTGCAGAATGATGGTAAAGAAGAGGTAGAGTGCTGTTCTTCTATGTGATGGACATTAATGTAAAACAGACCCTAGTGGGTTTCCTCAGCAGGATGAATTTGTTGTGATGTGATATAAGCTCAATGTGCATTCCTGTTAAGTTAACCAGAGACAGATAATGGCACTTTTCTGGCGTTATGGTTTGTCCTAGCAGCAGGGGAACATGAGATACCAGCTGCAGCATACTGTTAGCATGGGCAGCCAGACTATGTTTGATCCAGCTTCGAGACAGCTAGCACATAATTGACTCAGCACACTATGAAGGTGGTTGAATTGGCAGAGTGAGTACACACCTGTGAAATTGTTGTTCAGCAACTGAAACAATAAAGGCTGATTTACTGTAACACCCAACAACAGCCTTTTGTTTGTATCAGCAGTGTTTATTGCTCAGCTGTAACCTACACATGGCTGTTAAAAAGGAAGAGGAATGAGAAGATCATTTTCTGTTTAGTCTGAGAGCCCTGGGGAAACCATCGTCCTCAGAATGACGCATGACATTTCATGGCAGCCCTCTGGTCCCTGAAATGATTCAGTAGCTTTGGCTCTGTGTACAGATGAGCATTCATCCCACCCTTTTTCCTGAACTTCAACGAGTCCCTCAGGCACCCAAACCTGACCTTACCAGAGCTGAAATACCCCCTCTGGAGATATTTTTCTATCCATTGATCATGGAAAGACAAGTGCGATTACATCTCATCTCCACAGTGATGAGCTTTTCTTCTCTCATCTCTTTTGCTCAGGCATGAAGTCTGCTGTGAATCTGGGCACGTAGACCTGTCAGACCATTGAACCAGGTCTCCGTATTTTTGGAGAAAAAGGAACCCCAGCTCTGCAGATCCAAACAACCTGTATGCAGGGTCTGCTCTCACTCACATGCTCACAGGTCTAAGACTACATGGTGCACATGGGCACAGCAAGAGTGACCAGATACAAGATAACAGTAATTCCAAATTTACAGCTTCTGTTTTTTTACACAATTAAGAAAGAAAGCCTCAGGAAATAGCTTTCCTTTCTTCAATGAAACCATTGCTGAGAAGTCTGACACCACAAGCAGGTTCCCAGATTAGCTTTATGTGGCTCAGAATGCCACCATCCACAAACATACCCCTCCTTATGGTTTCAGCTGTGGGAAGAGATGGCATTTCAGCAAAGAAACAATCAAAATGAACAACACAGCTGTGCTGTGACACACAACCTCAGGTGTTTACTTTGCTAAGTACCCTATTCTGATTAATGTTACAAGAAATAGAAGGGGCATTTTCATCTCTTTGATAAAGGCTGTAAATATTTCATTTGTTTTTCATTGTTTCTAACTGCATGCAGCACAGTTAGTTGTCTTGTAATTCCAAGGAGTAAAGTAAAGGTACTTTCTCTAAACTTAACTTTTTTTTTTGCTTCAGGTGGTGTCTGACATCCAGTTAATTAGAAAGTGCAGAAAGATGAAACTCCCACTCTACTGAAAGCAGAGAGATACATTCAATAAAGAGTAACACGGAAAGGTACCATGTATGAATCAAAAATACATGGTCTCTAAATCTCTCTACTAAGGTCTATCATAAACATTCCCATATAGCTTACTGCATCAACCTTTGAAAGCTAAGGCAAATGCTCTCAGCAGACTGTGAAACAGTTGTAACAAAAGCTGATCTGCATTTCTTATGAGGGTAATTAAATGAGGTTTTTGTGTGCATGGAAGGAAGAAGAGTAGGCAGAATGAATGAAAGAAAGGCAGAAAGACGCACAGAAAGAGCACATAAAATATGCAGTATACACAGGAATAACTAAGCTGGCATTTACATTAAAAAATAAAAAGATTTTTCACCAAACATTCATGGGGTGTTCCTGCAAATTCATTTCAATTCAAAAAATAATGTAAACTTTTGTTTGACTAGCAGTGATCTGTATTGCAGTAAAAATCACTGTCTTCCTGCAGCTGTAAAAAAAAAAAAAAAAAAAAAAAA